ACCGTGAGAGACAAAAGAAACCCTATCTTCCATCATCTCTCTCTCTCACGGTAGGCCGGCTCCAAATCGCCATGATTTTGGATGAGATCTCTCTTCCTTTAGCACTTTTCTTCGCATCAACTGTTAATCTATGGCGTCAGTTGATGAACGATGCGGTGTACGAGTTCATAGCATCCCAGTTTTATGATTTTACATGTGGGGGAGACGGATGAGGACGTTAATAAAGCCGAGCTCTGGTTCGATACTAGCCTTTCATATGCCCCTTGTACATACTTCCAGTTACTTATTCTATCAATTATTTTCGTCATTTTAAGCAATTTTTGACTTTATTCAAAATTTAGAGCATGGGTTCTTGATTTCTTGAATTTTTTTGACGTAATATATGCTTTATTTGGTTTCTTAGATATTGGGTTTAGTTCTTCCGATTTTGGTATATTGGGTTCTTGAGTTTCTTGGAATTTCTTGACCTAATATGCGTGGTCTTCAGTTTCTCGGGTATCTGGCTGAATTTTTCTGATTTTCGTATAACTGTGATTTCTATGTTTTCAGTTTCTCAGATGCTTGAAATTCTTGGAAGTTTACTAATTGCCATCTTAGATTCTTAGGCATACTTTTTGGTTTGTTCAACAATGTTCTTGACAATTCAGTTGTTCAAGTGTTGGAATTTATGATATATTCATATATATGTTTTTCATTTAGATTGGGGTGATTGAATATGGAGAGTAACTGAGTCTGGAATTGTGTAATGGACTCGATCTGGAAGCAAAGTGTCTGGTATTTTGTTGTTTCGTTTTACTTTGCTTTTACTTAGGAATAAACATAGTGAACTTATTGATTATGAGTTGATGCTTTGATTTTTTGTTTGGAAGAAACAAATGAAAAAAAGAGTTACCGATGGTCAAAGCTGAAAGTCCTGACTTGCTGTTTATGGCATTTTTAGTGGCCTGTGACTTCAGTTAAATGAGTGTAAATGAAGCAATGGAAAGTAGCAATGTCCTACCAAGTCTTTTGGAAATAATAATTTATTAGAACCTTTGAAGTGAAATTGAAGTTTAATGAAACTAAAGAAAAACCCGCCGTGATTTTGGATGAGATCTCTCTTCCAATACATCGAATCCAAGGCTAATGAAAAGTGCTTTAAATTTAGTACTTTGGTGACTCTAATATTTATTGATAGGTCGTCTCAAACCGACCAACCCAACCCGACCGATATTTGATTGAGTTGAATTGGGTTGGGTTGGATTTTAACCTTTACACAAATTGGGTTGAGTTAAGTTTTGATCAAATCGATCATGTTGGATTGGGTTTGGGTTGAGAAAAAAATCGATCCAACCCATGGCCACCCCTAATCAAAATCAAAACTTTGCGAATAGTGAGCGTAGAGAGAGACATTGCACTTAGACCAAGTACCTGCATACACGGATTTAAAGGTAAAGAGGTTGTCATGGTCCTAAAAATTTCTTGCTAAAAGAACTTTAAAGGAGAGGATTAAAATGCATGACACAGGTCAAACTAGAGCAATCGTTTCATCATCTCTTTGCTTAAAAAGAGGAGAGCCAAGAAATCACACTACAATCATTGTCCTTTCAAGTTTTATGCATGTTATGAGACCCCAGTTTGTCTTCGTTTTCAACATTTGGTCAAAGACAAACAGAGATGCGACACGATGACAAGGTTTTGCAGGTCCTTCTGATATTGCAGCTGCTTACTGTCGAATTGTACATCTCAATCATTCCACCAAAAAGTAAGAATTTTTGGGGTTGTATAAGGACCCTGCTATTTGAAAATAATCCATTGTATTAGTATAATACGCTTGTCTTGTTCTTTTTCTCCCCTTTATAATATGCAAAGAAATGGTTACCCTTCGAGAAGATGTTGGTATAATATACTAATGCTAGAAAAGGATATGAGTTCAAGTCTACATGCAGGTCTAGTAAATGAATTTGGTCGACACATAGCTCCCATTTGACTCCATTAAATTCATAATACATTTTTTTCTATCTCTTTTTTTTAACCATACGTTCTCCAATAAAATAATTTAGTACATAAATCAAAAAAATTTCCTTCTTTTTCAACCACACATTCTAAAAAAAGTATTATTCCAAAAATTATAATATCAAATAATGAAGCCAAATGGAGGCATAAAGGCACGTTTAAGATGTAATCTAGATATGATTCTGATAATTGTACACTTTATTATTGGGGACGCCAAGTGGCACCCCCCGACATTACAGGGCCAATGTGGCCCTATACAACCAGCTCTACAAGTCAAAATAAATTTTTCATATCGACTGTAGGGGGCACCACTTGATAGGACAGGCAACACCACTAATCTAAGCCCCCGTTTAATATACATTTTTAAGGAAATAATGCATTTTAAATAATGATGTGGTGGAAAATATATGGTTAAAAAAGAAGGAAAAATTTTGAATTTGCGTGTAATATTATTTTATTGAAAATTGTGTGGTTAAAAATAAGTATTGAAAAAATACATTTTTTTTTTAGAATGTGGATCAAACGCTACCTAAATAAATTTGTCATATCTTTAACCTTAAGTGCATGTTGGGAAAGTCTTTTGAGTGGAATTTTCTTCAATATTTATTTTCCACCGGCCCCCACCTATAGGAGGACGCCAAGTGGTGCCCCTGATAGTACAGGCCCATGTGGCCATGTACAACCAACACCACTAATCTAAATAAGTCTGTCATATCTTTAACCTTAAGTGGAGGTCGGGAGAGTCTTTTGAGTGGAATTTTCTTCAATATTTATTTTCATACTAATTAGTGATTTTTAATCAAATCACCTAATATTTAAAAACTATAAAGTACGAAATGAGGGGCATATTTCAAAGAAATTTCAAAAAAAATATGTACACATGAAATGAAAGAAGATTAAAACTTAACAAGTAAAAAGGGGTGGGAACCACGTGCATAAAAGCCAAAATTGTCATTACCACGTTACGAAATATGTCTAGAGGAACTCACAAGTTCGCAAAATCTTGGAGGGAGGGAGAGAGAGAGGAGGGTAGCTATGTCAACGAGTCGAATCGAGTTCGAGCCGAAAAAAAAAAAAGTTCGGGCTCGACTTGAGCTTTTTTGGGCACGAGCCGAGCCCGGTCAATTTTTACTCCGAGCCGGGCTCGTCCCAGCTCAAAAAAAAAAAAAACACATTTTAGTACATTTTCTACTTAATGAATTTAAAATTTTGTCCAGTTTATGCATGTTATAAATTAATTATAAAAGTAAAAACTCTCATACTTCATCATCTATAGTATAATTGGATTGTAAAATTCTTTATCATGGATGTTTGGTGAGGATTAACTTTTTACATAAAATAGCTAAGGACGATCTCTTAGAATATTAATTAAGGAGATAAACTTTGTTAGATTATTTTCATCTATTTCTTCATGCTCGATTATGTCTCACTTTCAAATTAATTGACAATGGGGAGATAGAATTTGTAACCTCCCTCGCTATCCTACAACATATCATAAAAATGATTTATTGAAAATTAGTTATAAATTAGTGAGTCAAAGTTTAGATGGTAAATGATTTAATAAGCACCCGTAAGTTTATACCAAACATCAATGATATTATACATCAATTAATTAATAAATAATAAATTTAATTCAAATATTGAGATTTATCATAAAAATCTATATGCCATATCATCAGTTAAGTAAATCATTCTTCATGGTTAGATATCAATTAAGTGAGCCTCTTTTCCTTGGTTATTTTCCTTTCCATTTAATTATTTATTTTACAAACAGAAGGCAACATGTGTTCTATTGTATTTTGCTTACACCAAACTCCAATTACCATTTTTTTTCAATTATTTTTTTGTTCTACCTATGCTAATTCAGCTAAGCAGGCAGCTTTAATTTTTTTTTTAATTTTTTTTTTTTTTTTTTAATATTAGCCAAACACTGGCCAGCCCGAGCCTAGGCTCGGTGCAACGGAGCCCACGAGTTTTTTTGCCATCCCTAGAGGTGGGAGAGAGAGGGAAGACAAGTTTAAACTACGAACAATAAGAAAGCCAACCCTACCTAAACTATATTAAGAGGGTGTTAGGTGGATATTAAAATTAGATTTTTAATAAATTGTGATAGAAAATTTTGAATTGTGCGATTGAAAAGTTGTGGGACCCATGAAAGATGTGGTTAATATTAATTGTTTGATTTTGATTTGGGTTAAAATCAAATTTTAATCCGAACCAAACAGGAGCTAAGGTTTTCAACATAATTTATAATTTAATATTGAGAAGTTAATAATTTTAGAACAAAAGGGTATGTTTGATAGGTGAGTTTTTCTAGGGAAAATGGAAACCATTTTCNAACAAATTTTATAACCAATTGTGGAAAAAATTATCAATTTAATGGACAATTTTCATATAAAACAAAGTCAAACGAATAGAAAGTTTTAAAATTTTTCGAGTGAAAAATTATACCAATCAAACACACTTAATTAACAATTCCCTACAAAACAATTTCTAGACAATTACTTTCCCTGAAAATCATTTTTTTTCCACCAATTTTCCACCCTAACAATCAAACGCACCTAAATGAAACATTGCGATAGTGGAGTTCAAAAGGGACCTCATGCATCCCCTCTGCCCCATCACACTCCTAGTTTTTTTTTAAATAATCATATTTAGTGTACTTGAATGACAACTTTGTTGACAACATAAGACGTGACATGTTGTCATATTGAACAGTTTCAACAACAATTTGTTTTTTTTTTAATTTACAATTTTTTATCAATTCATACATTATCAACAATGTTGTCATCCAATATTATACAAATAACTTAATCCTTATCAAAAAATAAAAGCTACCATTTCAAAGGCAACAGCTTTCTTTTCAACAGGATCATTAATCTCCTCCTTCAACTCTTGAATAGATATTTCTATGGACCTTTTAGCTTTCATCAAAATGCCACCTCTTCCTCTCTACAAAGTATAGAAATCCTTACCTTTCCCTTTATCTTATCTTCTCTTAAGTATCATATCCATCCTTTGACTGATGATGGATGGCAAATGGACTCTATCCCAACACCAAGGAAATCCCTTGTTTCGCCCCTTGTGATCTTGTCGTTCTCTACACGTCGACGCTTCAAAGGAGGATACATTTGAAGCTGATTTAGGCCAGAAAAATCACTAACTGAACTCTCTGCCTCACTCCCAATGCCAGAAGTTACTGGATTTGTACCATACAGTTCTCCATAGAATTTGTTTTCATTTTGGATTGTATTATTATCACTGTACTTAAACTCAAAGTTTTCTAGGATTGACGAAGGGCCATTTGTCGTGGCTCCTATTTGAGCAGCTTTCTGCAATAAAGTTGTTGCTGACATGTTGGCGAAAGATGGCTCGTAAATTTGGTGTTGGCAGCTGAATAATGATGGGCTGCTAACATCTTCAATATTATTCAAAGGGAGTGATGAAATTTTTGTTAAATCTTCAGCTCCATTTGACGAAAGCTTATTCCCCAAATCCCAATTTAACTGATAACTTGATGGTGGGTAGTTCGAACAAGAATTAATATCAAAAGGATCAGGAAAATAATTTAATGCTTCTGAACTCATAGGAAGTCCCATTTGATGCATCTCTTGAAAATTTCTGGATGTGGATTCTTGGCCCTGGGGACTCTGGCCAATCCAGTGTAATAGACCACTTCTCGTTTTATCCATATTTTGGTCACTGTTTGAGATTGGCTTGAGAATGGAAGAGAAGTTTTGCACCATGTTAGGCCCTAATGGTGCTCCTATGAAATGATGATTAATATTGCCTGCTGCATGGTTGTTAATGTGAGATGTCCCTGTAACTCTTTCTGTTTCTTCTGCCAAGGCATCGCAAAACTCCCTATGCGTTTCGAAGCTGTCACTCCTGCTCACAAAAAATTCGAAAAATAACCAATCAGTCAAGCCAACATGTAAATATGCTCGTGGCTTGTTTTGCAAGGCAGATTGTTCAGTTTAGACACTATTAAGATAGAAAAATAACTTGAAATCTTGCTCGTTCTATTATGAATCTCAAATCTGATCCACTATGTACTACATGCCAAAATACAATAAATAGAAAACAAAAATGTCTGGACTTGAATAATATGTTAAATAAACTCCAGTATGTCTTATTTTTTGAACTTAATTTTAATATACTCAAAACAATCTCTATCATACTTTAACAGCCTTTCACCTAGACACTCTCATCACAAGAAGAGGAGGAGGATTGGGGGAGATACATTACCTTGAAAATATAGTACCACAGTGACATTTGTATTCCCTAGTGCCACAAGTCTTCGAGTGAGCCTTACAATCCGAATGCACTGCATATCGTTTAGAACACTTCTCACACTTCCATTTCTTCTCCCCGTGCTTTCTACAAAAGTGCTTCTTGATGCCAGTTAGGTCTCCCAGAGCCCTCGAGGGGTGGTGGTGGATGCAGGTCTTTTCCGGGCACACAAAAACACGCTTTCTCACTTCCTTGCTTGTTCTTTGCTTCAGCTTCCATGGCAAGTTGTGCCCTCTTCTGTGGAGTTGCAAGTTTTGATCCCTCTGAAAACCCTTCCCACATGTTTCACACAAGAATCTGTTGGTGGCCGTTAGAGTCTTTGGAGACAAGGCTATGACTTCAGCTTCAGGATCTATACAAAATATATAATTTTATATTTGTCACACATGAAAAACAAAAAGGCTTGAATATCCATGAATATACTCCGGCTCACAAAGCCGGATCAAAAAAGGAAAAGAAAGAATCAGAATTTGTTGAAAATGGAGTATACCTGGAATCAAAAAAGGGAAAGAAAGTATCAGAATTTGATGAAATGGAGTATACCTGGGTTGCCTGGGATATTTCTCTTCTTCTTTACGGGAGGAAGATTGGATCCAGTGATTAGATTTTGAGTGGAACCAGCTAAATTTACTTCCTCGGTCATTTTCTCCAACAATTTTCTTGTCTTCTACCTTGAGATTCAATCTGCTGAAATCATTAATTTACTTAGGAAGTTGAGTTCATTTGCAAGAATAAATAACTGAATTATAGCAAAAGAGCAGCTCAAAGATACCTTTTGCTGTGATGTCAACCTCAACAGAACTAGCAGATAGATGCAGAAATGGATCTCTCTCTATATATAATTAACACATATATACACCCATGATCGAGGTATCAGTGATATAAGTTAGAAATTATGTTGAGGCAGTACGAGTAACTAAGGTTCTTAACAACACAAGCCTTGCTGCGACAATCAGTTGAGTATAGCCCTTTGTCTCTCGTGTTCGTTCAAAAAAAATCAAGAGTTCTCTCTCTCCCTCGTGTGTTGCAGATTTTAACTAATTTCTGTCGGAATAGAATATATATTATTTTTGGCCCAAAGGAATACTGGATTTTTTTCATGGGAGGCGGTGAAAAGTGGAAAATATTGGAGATTGTGGGAGTGGGAGTGGTAATCAAAGTTGAACAATGGAAGATGACATATCTGATGAGGTCTGAGAAAAGTTAAGACTCCATGCCTTTATGAATAGAATGATTATCCAATAATTGTTTACTTTTTGGATTTTTACATTATTAATCGAAAACTATGTGCCAACCGCCAAACCTAAACATATATGTTTAATGTCACTTACTGGTTTGATTAATTTCAAGAAACCCCACATTCAATTATTATGTCTGGTTTATCTTGATGATTAAAAGATCTGAAATTATGAGGAGTTTGACTGAAAATTGTAAACCAAGTTTTTAAGATAATTGTTTGCATTTTATGTAAACTCGAAAACTATTTTTGTAGGACCCCTGTTGATCCTTCTTATCTAGTGTGGCTTAAGGTGAACACGGATAAATCAGCTTTTGGGAGTCCGGGACTTATTGTTTGTGGCGGCATCTTTCGTATTTGGAGGGGCTACGTCAAGTGGTGTTTTTCTATCCCACTCAATGTATACATGTTATGCATTTGAGCCGAACTTGTGGGTGAAATTCATATTGATTATGTATGATGATGGCAGTATGGGTGTAGGGATGGACCAAGCTTTGGCTAGAGACATATTTGGTTGCTATCTTACGGTGTCAATCATAAACGGTTTCTTGGTGTTGACGCTCAACCTAAAATCGGGATTTCTAGATAAACATTGCTATTGTGCATATCTATCGTGAAGAGAACTGTGCTACGCAGTTAGTGGCACCAAGGACTCCTAGCTACGCTGCTCCAACTTGGTACGTGATAGGTAGCTACAGATTTTATTTTGACGTTTATTTCTTTTTTTAATATATAGCAAGTCTGATTTATAAGCTCTGCTGATCTATTATTTTTCTTTTACTTTGATGTAATATTTCTTTTTTTATATTTAATAAAATGTTGGGGATGGGTAGATGATAAGAGCACTAAAAAAATTGCCGACCTTATTTACGTCTAGTTGCAACTTTTTCTTCACACAATTAAAAATTTGATTCATTTAAATATGTAGCTAGAGCACTTATAATGAAGTTCGGAGGCGTAACAACCAACACTATCAATAGAAAAATACAAAGAGCATGTTTGGCATGAGCTTGGGCTACGCCATTTGCTTCACGGTGAATAAGATTATATTGTTATTATGTTTCGTGATTCAAATTTCATGTGATTTGGAAGTTTGATTCATGGAGGAAGTCTAGATAATTTTGGTTTAGAAGTTCGGTTTGATGAGGGATCAAATTTCATCATGAATTGAGAGTTTGATTGGGAAAATAACTTTGAAATGGATAAAAATATGTTTGGAACGTTTAGGGACATAATCGGGGGCGTCGAGACGTGGCATCGATAATGCGAAGGGGGGGCGCGGGCCTCAGAGCTCAGCTGTAGCTCCACGGCATCGCCTATTCGGGAAGAATTCACCCCTATTTGGTTTTTTACATGATTTTGTGTTATATTTCATCCATAACTCCAAGATTTAGCTCTTATAAATTCTCCACAATGTGTAATCTCTTTAGAAAACTTGAGATAACAATTAGATCATTGTTACATACATTAAAAACTTGATAAAGACAATTTTAGTTTCTTAGTATAATAGATTCTCATTTTCTTCCACAAAAAATTTGGTTGTTGCATGATCCATTATTCACACATTGCCTATGTTATTCTCGTCTTTATTATTTTGGTCGGATTCTTAAAAAAATGTTATCAGAACGATTCTAATATCTTATTTGTTTTTCCAATAAGTGGCATCAGAGTTAAAAGTTTTTTGGCGGGTTCTTAGGAGGTCTAAATTGGATATTAAAGCAAGGTTTGAATAAGGTCAATTTTTTCGGGGATAGCAACTATAAAATTCGAGATTCTGCTTTTAGATCGCAACAGTAGATTCTCTTTGTAGCATATCAAGATCAAGCGATTCTTGCTCAATTAAATCTTGATGATGCTCTGTTGGAGATAGATAGAATGTCTGCAACAATGATTGCGGAGGAGAAGCAACGTAAGGATCGGAAAGCCCTATTACAAATACATCTTCATCTTTCTAGTCAAATTTTTCAGGACGTGATAAAGAAGAAAAGAGTCGTTGGGTTGTGGTTAAAATTAAAGCAACTTTATTTAACAAAGAGCTTGACAAGTAAGTTACACTTGTAACAGCGCTTGTATTCTTATTGTTTAACAGAAGGTGGATTTTTGGAAGATCATCTATCGGTGTTCAAGGGAATCGCCGCTGACTTACAGACCATGGACGTCAAGTATAATGAAGAGGATTTAATGTTGATACTATTATGTTTATTGCTGCTTTCATATGTGACTTTTAGAGATATCATTCTCTATAGTTGGAATACTATTATTATTGACAAGGTATATGATGTGTTTTATTTTAAAGAAAAGATAAAGCATCTAGTCGTCGGTTATGAGGCCCAGGCAAACGGTCTTCTTGTTCGTGAGAGGAAGATAAGTTATCATGGAAGGGACAGGGTTAAAGATAGCCAACAGTAATAAAGTTTGTTGGTATTACAACTGTAACACCCCTGGTTTCGTGAACCCGAATTGCCACGTTATCGTCTTTTGTAACTGATTTAACCAAAAAGTTTGCGAAAAATAACTAAATTTTAAAATATCGCATTTATAACGGTAAAACCTCGTCAGCAACAAAATTCATTTGATTACTTAAGGAAAATCGTTTAAATTTCAAAACTCAAGTTTGAAATAACGAAAACAACAAAATAAGTTCATAATGCGTAAATTTCAAAAGTAAATAACTTCGACTATTAATTTATGCCACCACTGCCCCAGTCCATCACACTCGACCGTCTCCGAAATCTGCAAATATTATTAAAATAACGGAATGAGTATTTCGATAAAATACTCAGTAAACTCATCGCCGATAATTAATTTACAAAATAATTGAACACGTAATCATGCAATTCATATCATGACATCTCATTTTCTTGAAAATCATAGGCTCTTTAAAAACATAGAGTGTGGGTAGTCTCGTCTCGTGCATTTAAGTATATAAGTTATGCATAACATTCTCATCTTATCTCATAAGAGATACTCGTCTTCTTCTCATGCAATAAAGTATATAAGTTATGGCAAGTATAATAACATCATATATCTCATATGACATATTCTCATCTCATGCATCAAAAAATATAAATCACATAAATTCACANTTTCAATAGTTTTCAATTAAGTTCCTAGAGTTCCTATTTCCCACGTTTAGCCCAATTACTTTGAAAATATTATTTTCAGCCCTTAGATTTATTAAATTCAGTTTTAATAAATATCCAATTAGGTCCCTAAACTTTATTTTATTGCTTTAAAACTTTAAATTTCGGAATAATAATTCAAAACCTAATTTCTATTTTGGCTAGACGAAATTTAAAGTTTTAAAGCAATAAAATAAAGTTTAGGGACCTAATTGGATATTTATTAAAACTGAATTTAATAAATCTAAGGGCTGAAAATAATATTTTCAAAGTAATTGGGCTAAACGTGGGAAATAGGAACTCTAGGAACTTAATTGAAAACTATTGAAACTGAAAATAAAAGTTTAAGAGCCGAAATAGACTTTTTATAAATTAGGGACTTAATTGAATATTTACTAAAACTGAAAATAAATTTTAAGGACTGAAATATTTTTTTGCAAAAACTAGAGACTAAATTGAAATTCATTAAAAATGAAAATAAAATGTTAAGGGCTGACATTAAACTTTTTCTAAAATCGAGACTTAATTGGAATTTATTAAAACTGAAAATGAGAAATTATAGACTGAAATAATAACTATTAAGAATTGGGAGCTTAAGGGGCAATTTCTACAAATTAAAATATAAACAAATAAATAAATAAAATTAAAACATAACAAAATCCATCACACACTCTCTCTCTCTCTCTCTCTCTCTTATTTTCGAACGAGCAAGAGAGGAGAGGAGGAGCCACCGACGGTGATTGACCTCGGCTAGCAGGCCAGCGTTGGCGCCACCGTCGCGTGGTGGCGCTGGTGCTTCATGTGGGGGCTGTAGGGGTTTTGGCGCGTGGATTGGACGCTAACTGAGGCTTGGAGGGTTCGATTTCTTTGAGCTCCTTGGTGGCAATCAAACTGAAAATGGGTGGGGGATAAGGTAAGTCTTTGGGTCTTCTTATGCTTTGGTTTTTATGGTGATTTGAGATGGATTTTGGGGCGGTTTTGTATTCGATTTTTGGAGGTTTTATGAGGAGGGGATGGTGGTTCGATTTCTGCTGGAGTTCGAATTGTGGTTTTGGGTTGGTGGGCTGCAGCTTGGGAGACTGTAGCTCGTGTATGCTTGCACTGGTTTGGCTGAAGCTTGGGTTTTTGTGGTTTTAAGGTGATTGGTCTGAGGTGGTGCTTAGCGGTTTGAGGTGGTTGGTCTCGGTTTAGAGCTAGTCTGGTGGGTGGCTTGGGGGTTGCGGGTTTGAGCTATTGGCGGTGGTCTTGGTGGTGAGTTGGTCTCGGTTTGGTGATGTTGGTGAA